GAATATGTCTCCAACCAGTCCTTCTATCAACTCATAAAGTCCGTCTCCTGCATCGGGCTCCAACGAGGGGAGGAAGACCATTCCTGAGCTACTCAGCATCAGCTGGGCCTCACACAGAGGTGTCTGGTTTGGCCATGATTCCATGTTGTCCACAAAGAACTGAAGAGAGTGGCTGATGTAGCTGAAGAGTCCCTCCACTACCATCTCATCCACATACTCCAGGTAGGACTGCCATGCTTCTGAAGAAGCGTCAGCATGGAAAAGGGTCATGTTCTCCTGATGAAATTGTAGGATATTGGAGGAATGGTGAGCATGAATACTGTTAATGTTTTGGCTCTGTACTTTTACAGAGTACAATTTATGAAATTAATGCAATGTATACAAAAATGCAAGTATTCATGAACAATCTATAATGTATAACAGTGAATATTATCATAAATCCAGTCAAACGCACCTCTACCAGCTTGTGGATAGAGTCTCCATCTTTCTTCATGGAGTTGTACTTCTTGCTGACACGGTCTCCCCTGTCTTCCAGCTGTATGAGCGAGGATTTCTTGTTGTCCTTTCTGCAAAACATGGCCTGTTTGCTCCAGCCCTTCATCATTGACTGGATGGCTTCACAGTTTTCCTTGGCTCTACCGACTCGACATACAAGGCCGTGGACCAGATCTTTGGTGGTGCTGATGAACCTCCAGCAGTTCGGATCTTGCCATGTCAGGTCAGACTCTGCTCTTGTCAACTGCACGTCTATGGACTCCAGCTCAGCTCTGATGAGAGGAAGTTCCACCTGTAGCACTGTCTGCTTTAGCTTGTTGTACCATTGTACTAATAGCTGCAGACTGCTCACATACTGGAAAATATAAGTGTAAAGAAAAGATGTATTTTGAGGAGCTGACTATGTAAAGGATAATATATGTATATATGTATATATATATTAGGTATTGCCCATTGTTTAACTCAAACAGGTGTGCATGAGTGTAAGTGAGCCCATAAAGTAATATGTTTGTTTCTTACCTTTGTGAACATGTCACGCTTCTCAAAAACAGTCATTGCAGCTGCAGGGATTTTGATCTGACTGAGAGTCTGAATATACTTCACATCTTTCAACACTTCAGTCAGCTGAGGAGTGAAAGGAAATGGTGATTAACCAATATACATAGTCACAGCGGGGTGGTGGTAAAATGCTTTGTCTCAACTACCAGAAACCCTCAGAGAATATAATAACTAAAATTAAATAACTGTAACAAATAACTATTCCCTCCGCCAGGGAGGTTATATTTTTGCACTTGTTACTAAGTCTGTCAGAATTATGTTATGAACAAAATATTTTTAAAACTAAAAGGGGAGATACAGTTTGAGCCAAGGAATAATAATTAAGTGGTGAACTGCATCTAGGTTTTGGACCAAACAAGGAATATTGTTGTCTTTTGCCAAACCTAGTATAATAAAATATATTAACAGAGATCCCAAATTTGAGGGGTCTTGATCATTTAGCATTGGAGGATGTTTGATGTAATGTTTCTGCAAACTAGAAGGCACTCATTTAGCAATTACCTTTGGATTGAAGTTGACTGAGATAAGGTCAGAAGACACATTTCTGGAGAGAAGGGGCCTGTTCAGGTTGACCAGACAGGCCTGTTCCAAACCATTACACCAGTCAGAGTAAATGTCCTCCTCATATTGGTCCAGGAGTCTCAAAATCTCCATGTACTTGTAGTACTCCGTCACCATCTCTACACCTCCTGCAAGCCTGGAAATATTGCATAATTGTGAGACAATTATCGTTTTTAAGCACAAGGCACAATAGCAATATCTTGTCTGTTCTATGCACTGTGTGTCTGTATCTTTCTATCTATTTAAATATTTTTCTGACTAGCTATTCTTGTAACAAATTCGCTGGAAATAATCAGGTGTTTTACTGACATGTCAAACAGCAATCTGATTTTTTCCCACGGTGTTTGAATGCGTTGTCTCAACATTTTTGCCCACTTCAACGCTCCAGATGTGTGAGTCATGTTCTTAGTCAGGCCACACTCCATCTGTAACAAAAGAATGGAAAAGGGTTGTTGTATGGACAGTACCCTGTGACTTCAATGCATATTTCTAATATTGTATTTTGCTTCCCGTACCTTACTAAGCTGGGATTTAAACAGACATTTACATTTCTCCAGCTCTTCTCTGAAGTGTTGCTGCAGCAGAAGGATGTTGGGAATGAATATCTGTTTAATTTGTCTTCTCTCCAGGAAGGGCCCAACAATAGTTAGCAGCTAAAGCACAAAAAACAAATATGTTGGTGTCCCACAACACAGCTCTGTCACTCACTATCACTTTATCAATACTGTCACTACCATCATCTTATTATCCAGTCTTGCTTACTTTAAATGCTGATTCCAGTCCTGAGCAATCCTTGAAGGCCAAGCATAGAAGGCTGGCAAGGCGGCATTCAAAGTCCACAATCCTCACTTTGAAATCTTTAAACTCGTTTTCAAAATCCTTATGGCAAAGTTAAGAATGCAACCGTATTTAATGATGGACACCGGTGTAAAATCATGCATTATGAATCTATGCAGGAGCTGTTCACAAAAATAAAAATAATTTCACCTGAGAGTGTAAGTCAAGTGGGCTGTTTTCACTGTGCTTCAAAGCTTGGCAGTGGTTCCTGAACTCTTTGTACATCTGAGCAGCATGCTCAGTGTAGACTTTGCCTTTAAGTCCACCAAATTCCAGTTTTTCCATCCTCTGAAAGTCAACCATGATTTCAAACAAGTCCTGCAAAGGTAACATACAGTAATAAGAAACAAAACCACCTAAAAATATCATCGTGACACATAACTGCAAAAACAAAAATACTAATGTGATCTCACCTCCAGCTGTAGCATACGATTAAGGAACTGGTTGAAACGTGCAAAAATCATAGCAGATGGGAAGTCCCAGGGTGCATGTTTCACATGGTTGGCCAACCTCTCCCTCTGGGTCTGGTAACTGTCTCTGAAACATCTAAAGACTTTTATCACCCTCTTCACCAGTTGTAGACTTTCCTCTGGATCCTCTCGGAGTAGCAGATCTGCAGAGAGGTATGTAGAAGCCTAAAGGGTGAAAGATTTTATATCTGTGAATTTGTTCACACCAACATCCAATAACCTAAGTCAGAGTAATATTGATTGACTAAAAGTCTTACCTGTTCAATGAACAGATTACAAAGTTCCTGCAGTAACCCCACGATGCGTGCCGGCCTTTGATAAGATTGGCAGTTGGTCCAGGTAAGGAAGAGAGTGTGAAACAGTGCAGGGATGAATGTTTCCAAGTGATGAAATCTTTCCTTTTCCAGTTGAGACAGTTGTGCATGTAGAGGTTGTAGATGGAGGTCAATGTCCTGGGCTTCTTGAAGTGCTTGTGATTGAGAAATAAAAATCAGTTTTAAAAGAAAACATCATAATCAGAGATAATAAGCTTTTGACATTTGTCAAGGTGCAAACTACAGTGTGTCCTGTTTGGCTTTGCAAAAGAAACTAGCTAATCTTACCATCAAATACATTTCCAATTAGAGTCTTGATTGTTGGATGATAGCTGCTATCCATCATCTCTAACATCTTTGCCATCTTCTGAACAATGGGACTCTGAAGCTACAAGGCAAAGTACCAAACATTTTAACAGAGGACTGTCGGGAGATGAAAATAAATTAAATGATAATAATAAATGTTAATATTAAATGATTTTAATGAAGATCAGGGGGAAAGGGAGAATACCTGATGATAAATGTTCTGTATATTGCTCTTCCTGGAAGCCCAAAACTTCAGCTCTGCATTGGGCCCTGGATTACAGCCAGTCATAAGTAGATCTGATGAATTCTGCTTTAAAATCTTCTGGATCAGATTGGTCCAGTTGATGACCTCGGTCTCTATGGCATGGGCCAGTGCCCTGTCATAGTTATTATACCTGAGTGTGAAAATACATGTTGAAAGTTAATACTTATGTTACAAAGAAAGATCCCAGTCTCTGAAACAAAAGCAAAATGTGTTTCTTACATTTTGATGGTGTTGTATGAATTTTCTATCCAATCTGCCACAGTCAGGATAGGGAGAACAGTTTTCCCTGAAACCTGTCCCTGCACAACTGATGTCTTACTGCACAGGCTCTCAACATGTTGAATGATGTCTTCAGCCATCAGATTTGGCCACATCTGATGGTTTTTGTCATTTAACAGCAGTGGAACACATACCTTTTGAATAGACACAATTAATTCACACAGAAGTCATGAATGCAAGCTAGAAAACTGCATAACAAAAATAACTGACAGCAACGGAGGTTTTAACAATCACCTGCTCAACTGTGCTCGAAAGCTGCAGTAACGTTAGTGGTGATGGAGAAATTATGCCATAAAGCAGAAGTTCCCTGTAGTTTTCAGCATTGATGGGAACATCTGCCTTCTTAAGGACATAGACTTGCTTGTATTGAGCAACACGTGGGACCTGCATTTGCAATAATATCACAATCAATATCAACATTTTGTAAGTACCCTAAGCTTAGTTTACTAGTCAAGTGTACACAGGCTAAGCTAGCTAGATTGTATCATACTACCATAATGTTATTGGAGATTCCGTAACAACCATACCTTATTAGAAGCAACCAGACAAAATTGTTTTGAAGAAGAGAAAAACATAATAGACTCCCTTTCAAAGAAGTCTTTCAGAAGTGTTTGAAACTCTTCGTTGACAGCGCTCCTCTCCCATGTTTGACGGTGCAATCGCAGTAGCCCACAAACTTTTTCCTCGACAAACTTTACTCTGACGTCCTCCAGAAAGGAAGGCACACTTTCATCGTCGGACATGACTACTCTACGACCATGATATGCTTTAACCCTGTCACTTCCTTCCACAAAACAGAAAAATGTGTGACCGCTCCAGAAACCGTCCCCCAAATTAGCTATTAACTTCGTGTTAGAATAGTTTTAACTATCTAACATAAAGCCCGTCTGCAAAGAAGACTGCCAGGAGCTGGGCAGTCCTGGTGGCGGTTCAGCATTCCGTTGCTTAGAAACAGCCACTATCCTCAATCACTGCCAGGTACGTTTATTTAGCTAGCTCCCAAATGTGAAGTGAAAGCACTTTCCCCCAGTAAAAGTCATGAAGTAACTACAAAGTTACTGCATCTACTATAATACTGATTTTACCATTTTACATTTTAGAAGACCAGAATATCAAGCGTGCAGGTCATTTAGAGTAAAATCTACAAAACAGTAGGCTACAGTTGCAAAGGATGCTCTCATTAATATTCCACCAGATATAGAGTTAAAATGTTAGTTAGATATATGTAGGTGTATCATATGACTTAATGCTTAAGGACGTGCACTTTTAATTAAAGTTCAAATAATAGCTGACTTGGAATTGATGCATACATGGCCTTCAGTTTGAGACATTAAACTACTCATTGACATGTGCATGACCAATAGTCATTTCACTGGGCAGATGACTATATGGTCGATATGGATAAACAGTAAATCAAAACATTAATGGTTTCAACAGGTGAAAATGCCTGTGTCCTTTTTAATGCCTCCTTTGTGAAAGGCCTGGACGTGAAGAGGCCCGCGTATCTGAGCCACAGACTGTAGTAAAATATATGTGATATATGTGTGTGTGAGTAGCTTGACTGTTGTCTTGGCAGCAGAGCATTACCCAGCGACTGCCATTTACAAGGCACTTTACTACACCTCATTTCAGAACAGTCTACAGGGTCTGACTGCTTGGACAAAATGATTCTTTGGAGTAACTTACCTTGAAGATTTAAATAGGCTAGCTGAGTGGTATACCCTGATCTATTAGTAAATGCTTGAAGTTATAGTAAATAAACATACTAGATATAGAGGATACTATGTATGATTTTACACTTTATATAATTTCTAGAAAATGCACTACTTCCTGTAGAGTGACTTTTTTTCTACTTTTTATCCACAACAAGACGCAGATCCTCAGGAAAAAGAAGAGGAGAGTGAGACAAACTCCTCAGGTTTGCAGGTGGCACTACCGTTTTGGACCTCATCACTAACAATGACAGGACCACCTACGGGGAAGAGATTGCCTGCCTGTTGCTATGGTGCTAATAACAAGTTGGGGGCAATGCATTCAAGCAGTTAAGATGAAGATGGCTCCTGATGTAATCCACATGCTCATTTTACTCTGGAAATCAGCACAGATGTTAACATGGCTGAGAACATGAGTCTTTTGATTTGCTAAAGACCAGAAACCTCTTACAGCCTCAAATGGGATGAGATCATTATGACTATCATCACAAGATGGAAAGAGAAAGAAAGGTCACTCCACTCCATGTATAGCTATGCGTGTATCTTTCTATTCTTTCATCATACTGTGGCCTCAAACTCAACAAAGGAACAAACAAATACATATCTTTTCAAATATCACTTTCTGCTAGCTGCCTCTAATGCTGAAGCTGTCACAAAAGTGTGCAAGACAGACTGCACCATTCGTACCCTCCCAGGCAACCAAAAACTGTTTCTTAGGGAACAATGCTATTCAAACCTGGCACTATACCTGCCACCTCGACCATTTTTCTGCCAAGGCTTGTTACACTGCTGAGCTAGCCCCCATAATATCTCCATCTACTGCCTCTTGTGCATCTGCCACAAAAAGAATGTGCTGCAATCTGAGTGAAAGTCTTTTGGCCTTCATTCATCGCTTGCAATCATTGTCATTGGTACTAAAATGAGTGTTCTGATGAAATGCATGATTTGTTTGCTTGGGTAAACTTATTGTATGTGTTGCACTTTGTCTTTTGGCCTTCAAAATTCTACTAGGTACATTTGTCATACAAAGCAGCTCATCAATGACTGGTCGTGTCAACAGAGTTTTGTTGATGATGCTTTATTGATTCCCAAACTGAATCACAAAACAGCACTCCATCACCACAGCCCAGTCAATCCAACAAGCAACGTTGAGCAAGCAAATGTGTTTGTTTGTTATTTGTTTGTTTGATGATGTACAGTTTCGGATTCTGAACTAATGTGTCTCTGTATATTGAAACCACAAAGGTGAACTGTATATAAATACCAGTGCATTACTGGTTTAGTGATCTTCTTCTATCCTGATAAAAATTAAATCTGTACTATAGTACATTTTTCACTAAGAGTTTTAGTATTACCAGTCCTGAGGGCAGTTCAGAATTCCTGTTGCAGCGCACATAAGGCGAACTGAAGTTCTATTATTATACATGATACCCAGTGATGGAAGAAGTACTTATTTTAAGTGAAAGTACTAATACCACAGTGCAGAAATACCCTGCTACAAGTAAAAGTCATGCATTTAACATTTTGCTGAAGTAAAAGTACAAACGTATTAGCATCAAAATATACTATAAAAAGCCAAAAGTAAAAGTACTCCTTTTGAAGAAAGGCACATTTTAGAATAATACATATTTTTTTTATTGGATTATGATTATTGATGTGTTTGATTTGTACATCACTTTAATATTGTAGCTGGTAAATGTGGGGCAAATTTTCTTTTCTAATATATATAGGCTATATAAATAAATGATGTAGGCCTACTAGGGATCATTAAAGGCTCATTGATATCACAGTTGATTATATTTTGTATCTGAATCTGGAAAGTAGAGTAAGTAATTAATGTAGTGGAGTAAAAAGTACGTTATTTGGCTCTGAACTTAGTTTTCTTCTTTCCACTGCTGTTCAACAGCCACCTGCTGTGTGCAAATAACATCGGACCCCAGGATGTCAGAGGGTCCAAACCACAAGGTCGCCCTCTACAGGACCAGGTTGAGTTATGGCTACGTGCAATAAACATTATTATCTATGAGAAAAAAATATATAGTCAAGTCAGTTTTATTTACATAACACAAAATCACAGTTTCGTTTCCTCTGTCCTCATTTTCTCTTAGCTGAAATCGTTTTTGCTTTTCAATTGTTTTTACTGTCTCTCTCTTGTACAATGTGAACTTCTGAAGTTATCTTGCGTCTCTCAGTGTGCGCACCATCACCATCAGTCGCGTCCTGTAGAGGGCACTGGCTTTTCTTTTTTGACAGATCTTGATGTAGATCCAAGGGACTTGGAGATCCAGCAGCGAAAGAAAATAGTTGAGACAGTTTCTCAAATTAAACCTGTTTATTTTAGATAGATAGATAGATAGATAGATAGATAGATAGATAGATAGATAGATAGATAGATAGATAGGCGATACATTTGATTTAATTTGGTCATTTTATTATTATAGGCCTAATAAAGGACAAATGACAAGCAGCTGGTTGCCAAAAGTCCAGAAAGCAATTTGTAAGCCATATTTAAAAACACAGCACGTCAGGAGGCTGCCTGCATCTGTTGTTTGGTGACCTCCCGTTTACATAATAATTGATCACATTGACTATATAATCACTCCGTTATAAGTCACTGTTCCACCTGTCTCCGGAAATATAGACACAGTAATCTAGTTTCGATGTGTTGATGGCAAGTAATCCTACATGTGGAAGATTTGCCCTGGAGTGAATTAAGCCACTGTAACGAAATGTAAAAAGAAAAAAAATCCGGCCCAGAGAGCGCTGAAGCTCTCGGGGTGTTATGTAAGCCCCAGAATGAACAAATTTGTTAGCCCACACCCGAGGGGATCTGGTGATGGATATGTTGTCCTGGGGGACTGGGGAAGCCGCACTACAACAGCCGGCCACTTATCTTGAAAGGCTTGTTTTAAGTGCTCCTCTGCTGGGAAACAAAAGCTTTAAGGGCACCCATTACCTTACAATTGTTATAGCCTACAATCCCCATTGTTTAGTTAGCTCCCACACATACATATTAGAGCATATGCCATGCATTAGGCTTAAGCCTACTGGTTTATGTGGATGAAAGAAAATCAGAATAAAATAAAATTCTTAATAGCCAGATAGGTCGGTGTGGGCATCAGACTGTAGAAGTGTTATTTGTAGTTTTGATCTAGTTCCTCTGCGCTAAAGTGCATAAAATTAAATGCCATAGCATTATATGGCACATATACACTTTTTAAGTGCCGGTGCTCCTGTCTGAGGTGTGTCACAGTCTGGGTGGCTTGAGTGTGTTGTGTGGGAGGCTGGGTCCAGGCAGTTAGGTAGGGACTCCCCTGAGGATGGCCAGGCCACTTGTGTCTGGCCTCTGTGCTGGTTTATCCCACTTAATCAGCATCCTGAGAGACTGGCACTGCCCCTCATGGCCATAATGACTGAGGTCACCATGGGCTCCTCAAAATGAAGTGAAGCCTCACCAGACAATGCTGCTGTCAATCAGCCTTAACCTGAGCTGGGCCCTTTATTCCTCATATAGTGTACTTGTGTAATCATTCACTCCATAAATGCAAATGATCTCATCAATGTTTTGACTAACACAGGGCAAGGATACATAGAGAGTGTTTTTTTGCATATGAAATACTTGGATTTCTCACAGTACAGTTTCCCTTCCTGGAGACTGCATAATGGACTACACAGAAGGGATGTACGCAATGCAATGCAACGTTAATCACACATGCACCTGCTGATGAGAATATAGCATCTTGTATGACAAGCAAACGTAGTCCAGATTCTCTAAAATAATTTTGCACATACCATGTTAAGTAAAATTCTGCTTCTACCTGTAGGGAAAATAACTCTTGTTAGGCTCATCATCATAGCCAGATGCTGCTGAAAATAATTTATCTAAAAAACTAAGATAATTAAGACACAGGAAAATGCTTCCTGCAATTTGCAGGTGCTCTTCCGCTTCATTTGGACCATAATTTGTACTTGTTTGTATGGCACATACAGTCAGTGGTTTGGGGTTTGTAGCGGTAATGTCCCAAGGGCTTCTGTCAGTCCGGCTCCATTATAAATGACTGAGCTGAGTGAGCCTCCTTGGCTGTTTCTCAACATGCTGGCTTCCTTGGGGCCTTGTGTAGCATTTGCAGAGCGTGTGCCCTTTTGATTTCCTAATCCCAGCACAAGCTGTGGAATGCTGTCTCTCCATGAGATATTCTACTCACAGGCCTTGATTCATGTTCTTGTGATGCACAGCTCAGTGGTGAGAAGTACGCAGGTGTTGTGGAGCCTTAGTAAAAACTTTTAATATGCACACCTCGTGGTCTCTGGCAGGGCCTGGCACAAGGATTACTGCCATTCAGTGGGGGGATGGGTCAATAAATGTTTAAAATTCATCTGAGGCTTTACTGTCTGATAGGTATTATACAAACATCCATGTATGTTTTTCCAATTCACTTTTCTTATAGTAATGATATAAAATGCAGAAAAATGAATAATATATTAGGACCATACATACCGCAAATAAAATAAACCAGCAAAGACAGCATTGGCAGCTACTGGCTGTTAATTACTACATTGTTGACTGTGTAGTTAATTCCCACTTTAAAGTGAAGAGGTCAACCTTTCCTCATGTCACGGTAAAAGTCTCATCATAAAATCAAGAGTGCAAACATTCGAAGTGTTTGCCCTCTCTGTATCCACCGCATTATTGGGCAACTCCTTGATATTTTAATTAAAGCTGTGAGAGAGCATCCCCTTATCATGCAAAGTGAAGGGGTTTATTTCATAAGGTTTGAGAAATAAAGAGAAAGGGGGTTTACTCCCCACTGCTGTTGCTGTCAGACTAATGATTGTGTGAATGAATGTATGACAGTTTGCACTGCAGTGGTCCAGATATGCTACATTTCACTCATATGTGTATTTCAGACTTTTGGCATGTGTTATGAAAATAAACTTACAATCAGTGCCAATCTCCATAGGCTCAGGCAGTTATCATTTGGCTAGTACTATAATCTAGTATTCTTCTAAATAAATGCATAACGCTGACAAGAGAAACAGATGTAGTTCATCATTAAATGCGATGACACTAATTATGCTGTATCTTCCCATCAAAAAATGTTCCATTCAGAGATTTATTTGGGTTCTTCCAGCCAGTGAGCCAGATTTTGTCGTGACATGTCACAGACAACTTCATGTGCACTAACAACCTTCCAGCTTGATTTAATAATAGTGATCTGTGTTAATCACCCACCCTCCCTTTTCCGCTTTTCATACTTTGCCATAGGGATTTCTGTAAACTGCACCAACTTACCTGACTGCAACAATCTCGTCTTCTAACCCACCCCCCTCCCCACCCCCCTTCTTTGACCTGTTATCTAGGCGCAGAGGTCAGGAAGGCCTTTTAGTTGTGTAGCTGAGTAATGACCTTTTCAACTCTCTTTACTGTTAATCCCTGAAGCTGTTAGTTTTCATACTTTGATTAGATATGAAAGGATTGAGCATTTAAATGTGTCATCTACAGTATATTTCAATTGGTATTACAGATTGGAATTATATATAGAATGACGAATGATGATGATGAATTTATATATGATCATGTTTAGGCTCTTGATTGGAAATAAACAAACATCAGTGTTAACACTTTTAATTCAATTAGCATTTGTCTCTGTAGTCTAAGGGTAAATTTCACCTTTGATTTTTTTTGTGTGTGTGTATTTATCACATGAAATCCAAAGTACACTAAAATCAGGGTTGCTCTGAATATCATAGATATTAAGATGAAAATGTTAATCCTATTCATGATTAGTATAGTTACCCATAATATTACATCAACTCATTTGTAGCTTGAGAGATATATGCAAAGGTCCAAGTAGAATATATTTAAGTTGACACAAATGAATATGTGATTTTATATGTCACAGGTTCTTTTTATAAGCTACTAATATTACTGTTTCCTTGTTATTTTAACTTGTTAAATTGCTACAATGCCTCACATGTACAGCCACTGAATTTTTGTAGCACTGCCAGAATTTCACCTCTGAATTTATGCTAAAAATGTTCCTCCCCAAGGTTACATAGCACATTCATTTAGTCCTTACTGTGCCACCCCCTTCTCCCTCTCCCTCCTTCTGCTCCTCTTTCTTTCCCATGTCCATTAGACCTTGCAGACTAATCGAGCAGCACCAATTGCTCCCGTGGTGAGATCATTAAGTAAATTATTTTAAGATCAAACGGTCAGCAGCCACAATGAAGTCCTGTGTAATGGTAAAAGCCTCAGATGCTGCCACCCACCCCTCTCTCAAATTAAAGCCCAGTGGGGAGAGCTCTGCACCTCTCAGGTGGATG